CGATTTGCAGAGCGGGGCAGGTTTGATCCGGGAGCTGCCAAAACAAAAAAAAACAAAAAAAGGAAGACTGGGCACTCTCACAGCCGCCTCCGAAGCATCCAGCCCCTGCCTGGGAGAGATTTGCGCGAAGAAATCCCGCTGAGGGAAGCAGGCCAGCCGAACAGCCTGCTGGGGGACGAGGCAGGGAAGGATCGTCGCTTAATGGCGGATTTATAAAATATATATATAGATATATAGATATTTCCCCCCAGAAAAAGAGAAAAAAAAGGAAGAACAAGAGACGGGCATGAATTTTTCACGTCCGACGGGCTGCCAATCTCATTTGGGCTCCCCGGGATCCGGAGGGAGGGGGAGGGTGGTAGGAGGAGGGGGAGAGGGAAAGCTTTATGGGGCGGGGGGAATAAACGGCGCGGCACAGACGGAGCTCACCGTCGGGGTTCTGGGAGTCTGCGTCCTTGGGAATGGTGTAGAGGTCGTAGGTGCTATTCTCCAGGTTGCTCGGCCTCTGCGGAGAGAAAACGCGGCGGGTAAAATTCGCTTTTATTGGGTTTAGGAGGGTTGTTTTTTTTTATCTCTGACCATTTTTATGCCGTCTCTTGGAAAACGAAGTTAATAGATCCACTTAAATAAAGATAGCGGCGGCAACTCTCGGTTCAGTTTTCAACGGAAGAGGGCTGAGCGGGACGGGGGCTCGTTCCCAGGGCTGCTTTGCCAATCTTGCCAATTTCCGTATTATTCCCTGTTTTTTTGGGGGGGGGGGGGGGGGGGGGGGGGGGGGGGGAAGAATCCACTTGGATTTGAGAAGGAAAGTCAGGTCAGTTTTGAAAATGGTGGTGGCGAACCTCAAATCTTGAAAAAGCCCATCCGGTAAATCAATATTTCTCAACCTCAGACACTCGACTTCAACTCCCGGAACAGAGTTGAAATCCGCCCATCTTAAAAGGTACCAAGCTGGAGAAACACTCCAGAAAATGGTTTTTTTTTAAAAAAACCTCCTTCATAAGGATTACAAAACAAATACAGGTAGTCCTTGCCTTTCGACCCATTCGTTTAGTGGCCAAAGTTTCATCGCAGGAAAAAAAGGAACGTATGACCTTTTTCACACTTATGACCGTTCCAGCATCCCCCCATGGTCCCACGATCAAAATTCGGACAGGCCAACTGGTTTGGTTTTGCAACCCAACAAGACAGACACAGACACAAATTCATCTGCACTGAAAAATAGAAGCTTCAGTCCTTAAGGAAGGTTCAGCTCTGCTTTTAGATTAGCCAGAAAGCAAGAAATCCAATGGTTTCCTGTTTTCTAGCTAATCTAAATCTCCCGGCACAGCAGAACAACTGATGGTCGGGGAGGAAAAAAATAAATAAATAGCAACTTAGAAGGTAAGTTTGATGGCACACATGCCAGGTAAGGAGTGAGTAGGCAGGGAGGGGAGAGGAAGGCTCAGCCAGTAGTACAATTTACCAGTTTTCTGAACTGGACAGAATCATAACAACTGGAGGAAGGGGGTCAAGCTATTCTCCAAGGCACCCGGAGGCCAGACAAGGAAGAATGGATGGAAACTGAACAAGGAGAGATTTTTCAACCTGGAAATAAGGAGGAATTTTTTCTGACAGGGAGAACCATCAACCAAATGGAACAGAAGTTGCCTTCAGAGGTTGTGGAAGCTTCATCCCTGGAGACTTTCAAGAAGAGACTAGATTGCCCTCTGTCAGAAATGGTGCAGGTAGGGTCTCCCGCTTGGGTGGGTGGGGGTTGGACTAGATGACCTACAAGGTCCCTTCCAACTCTGGTTATCCGACTGCAAATACAGAACGAGAGGGAAGACTTCCATCGTCGGACAGAGGTTTTCCACATCTGCAGACGAGATGGGAAGGAAGGCAACTCCTCGCCTTGTGGTTCCCGGCTGAGACAGCCGTGAAAAACAGCAGCAGCAGCAGCGGCAGCTCCCTTCCCTGACAGCAACCCCCCCTCCCTCCCCAATGGACGCCTCCCACCTACCGTGCAGAGGAGCACAGCATTCTCCGCTGGGTTGTAGGACATGTTGAAGACGGGAAACTTGGAGCCACTGCAGGACAAAGAGAGAGAGAGAGAGAGAGAGAGAGAAACGAAGGTCAGGAGTGGAGCCCAAAGGAATTCCGGCTGGTGGGATCAAGAGCCTTTCCTGCCACGCTCCCACCCTCTGGAGCAGGGGGTCTCCAACCTTAGCAACTTTTAAGACTGGTGGACTTCAACTCCCAGAACTCTGGGAGTAACTCTGGGAGTTGGTCCCCAAGTCTTAAAGGGGCCAAGGCTGGGGACCCCCTGCTCTGGAGCATTGTGAGATCTGACCCCACACTCTTGGCCTTCCAGAAGGGCCCACAGTTCCAGCTGTGACAGCAGCAGGTGCAGAAGACTGAGGTCTCGGAGAGCGAGGACTCAGAGGAGGGGCCTGCGTGGGAGGCAGGGATGGGGCCAGGACCATCAGGGAGTGGAGGGCTGCCTTCGGAGATGGTGGAGGCTGGCAGCAGTGAGGAAGAGACCCCCGAGGAGCCTGTGCCCAGTGCATGTGCACGCAGGGCTGCTCGAAGGAAAGAGCAGCTGCAGCAGCACAGGGGACTCGGGAGTAAGGCTGCAAGGTTTTTATCCCCTCCCTTAAGGGATAAAAGCCAGCCTGAGAGACCGGGATTCTTTGCAGGAAGCAAAGAAGATTTTGCACTCAAGCCTTGTGGACGTTCGGACTCTCTTAGTTTGTGTTTGGAGACTCTTTGGGTTTGAAATATTTCTTGGCAACTTTATCTAGTGTTCTTGGCAGCCTTGCACAACCTTGGCAAGGCTCGTTCTTAACAGAGACAATGAGTTTGAAGCAGCCTTTTAACCGGGAAGGAACGGAATTCATAAAGAATCATGAAAAGGTTTTGCTGTTACCTCTGTTTCCCGTTTGCTTCCTTGGAACAAGGTTTGGGTCAGAACACGGGGTCACGATGGGGACGTGTCCCTCCGGAGATGGCGAATGGACTAAGACCCCACCACTGCACACTCCCCCATCAGGCAGAATGCTTCCTTCCTGCCCACTTTTTGTCAATTTTAACGCAACGTTAGGGTTAATATTTATGGCTTCCATGTTTTGTTTTGTGGTTTGTTCATTTGCGAAGCAGCCTAGAATCGCTTCTAGGCAAGGCGGATAGCATAAAAGTTTCATAAACACAGATAAAGTCATAAATCTGCGCTCTCGTCTCCCAAAGATAGACTGACGATTATTGGGGGGGGACCCCCCCCCCCCCCCCCCCCCCCAAACAGAACGCTGGGAAGGGAAGGAGGGCAAAGCCCCCCCCTGGGCTGAACACCACTCCAGAAAGAGCCTTGCCTCCTTGGCCGGGGGAGAGGACGGGGGGCACGGAGCCAGAGCGGAGCCTCAGCTGGGGTCCCATCTGCCTACTCAGAGCCACTTAAGCATCTGCTGTCCCCCCCCCCCAGTCTGGCTCACCCTCCCTCCCTGCCTTTCAGCTGCCGCCCTCGTGAGGTTTCTACAGCAAACCAAAGATGAAATGGTTCGGGGGGGGGGGGATATGTATATAGATATGTATATATATATATATATATTTTTCTCCCCCTGAACCTTATCATCTCTGGATTGCTGTAGAAACCGTGTCTGTGTGTGTGTGCGTGTGTGTGTATACGTGTGTATATATACACATACATACACACATATATACATATACACACATCAGATCGATGGAGGGAGGAATAGATAGAAGATAGATAGAAAATAGATATAGATGATAGAAGAGATATAGAAAATAGGTAGATAGACAATAGATAGAAGAGAAATATAGATGATAGATATAGATATAGATAGAAGACATAAAAGATAGATAAAAGATAGATAAAA